CCAGATGGAGACCGAGGCGTAGCCCCGCCCCGCCCCGTCTGAACACACTGAAGAGTTTTGCGTGAATTGAGACCTTTATTTTTCTATCTGGTGGGTGGTTGGCTCTGGGGGGACGGGGGAAGGTTGGGGGTTGCTCAGGTGGGTCCTGTCACCCCTCATTGCAGGTGAGCGTGTGTCCCGCACTCACACTGCTCAGAATGCTATTTATTCTGCTTCCTGTTCGGTCCACGTGTGAGCGGGGAGAAGGGAAGGGGTGAGGCGTGATGTGCAGCAGGGTGGGGAGGGAGAGCCCTGGCTCTGGCGTGCCGGGTTGTGCCCCTCCCCTCTTCCCCTCCTCACCTGGAGTGGCTGTCTTCTGGAGCTGGGGTGACTGCCCGTCCTGTTCCTGTCTCCCCTCCAGTCCGCCTGCCCTCAGCCAGGCTGTGCACCCCTCCCCCCAGGCCTCTGCTCGCCGCCAAAGGCCCAGGTGCCACTCGAGCCCTGTGCTCGAGCAATAAAGACGATAAGCAAAACTGGGTGTCTACAGCCTTCCTGGGACTGTGGGGGGCGGGCTGGTGGGTGCATGGGGAGGGGGGGAGGAGGCAGGGAAAGGGTCTCTGTCCTGGTGCCCTGTTGGGGACAGGAAACAGCCTGCTGTGCAGGCTGGGGTGGGGGGGTGGGGCACTCCCACGATGAAGGTGCCTATGAAGAAGTGGGGGTCCCCTGCTCTGACCTTTGACCCCAGCCCAAGAGTCCAGGCAGTGTGGACGGCCATGCCCAGCAACTCCACACAGCCCTCCAGCCCCCCCAAGGTGGATCTGCCAGGCAGGGGCTGGACGGCCACACCTCCCGGCTATGAAGGGGGGTCCCCTGGAGCCAGCCGCTCCCCGGCCCCACACGTCCCCTCCCTGGACTGCCAGGCTGGTCCTGCGCTTGCAGGTGGGGTGGCTCCTCAGACTCCAGCTAAAACCGAGGTGGTTAAGCACCCGGAGTCCAAGCCTTCTGCACCAAGAGCCTCAGCAAGCTGGATCTTGTAACAACCAGCCATCCTGCAGACTGCAGGCTCAGGTCAGGTGGGAAGGGCTGCCTGACAGACCTCAGCTAACCCAATGTGCGTCTGTCACCGGGCGAGTCTCCGTCCCTTTTCCTGGTGCAAAAACAGCTAAGATCCCTTCCAGGTGTTGGTGGGATCCCAGGATCGCACAGCACTGCTGTGGGAGGCAGGAGATGGAAAGGGCCTTACTCAGATCTGTCTCGGGACAATGGTTAAGTCTTCAAAGACTAAAAATCCCGCCATACTGGGAACTCTACCCTGGGCCCCTGCTGTTTTCCTGCAGGTAAATCTTCCTTTATGCAAAGGACTGGATGGCGCTCAGTGCTGTAGAGAAACAACAGAGGGTCTAGCAAGTTCTCCCCTGAGTATAAGCTGCTTCTGGGTAGCTTGTGCGCGCTCGCTCTGACACACACACACAAGCTCCTGTTAAGAGCCTACTCCATTCCATAATCCAAAAGCAGCCCCTCCACCCGACACCCCTTCATCCCGCACAGCTACAGCGCCCTGCCCTGTGCAAACATGGGAGCTGGGTGCTGTGCGTCCCGTTTCCAAATAAGAAGCACTCGGGCAGCTGAGTGCTTTCGAGAGATTGTTGGGAAATGGCTTGTGGTGGAACTCGTAGCTGTACCTTTCTCTCAAGATCGGTTTTCCCTTTTGCAAATGTGGAGCATCTCAACCTCGGGCCTGCTACGGGTGGGTGAGGGCTGTGGTGATTTCACAGTGGTAGGCTCGGCTGGGTATGGCAGTGCACACCTTAAACCCGAGCGTAGGTGTCTAGGATGCACAAGACCAGGTCACAGTGGTTAGTTCCCAGCTGGGGGTTCTAAGTCCCGGTCCACCCTGCCCTTAGTGGCCGGGAGAGCTACCTATCAGGTCCCTTTGAGAAACAGGTTTTTGCACTTTGAACTAGGGGATATATATGGTTACAAAGGTCTCAAAAGAGGGCTTAGTGGTGGAGTGCTTGTGCAGCATGCATGCATTTCTGGGGTTGATTCTTCAGCACTACATACACAGAAACAGCCAGAAGTGGTGCTATGGCTCAAGTGGTAAAGCTGGCCTGGAGCAAAAGCAGCTGCAGGACAGCACCCAGGCCCTGAGTTCAAATCCCAGGACTGGCACCAAAAATGAAGTAAAAGGCTCAAAAATAACTCCCCCCAAACCTCCGGCAATCGGAGTTTTGAAGGTCCTGGACAAGACAACTGGGGTAGAAGAAGTGGTCAGGAACTTTTGGGAACACTGCCCTGGAACCCCTCAGCCCTCTTGCCTTGCTGAATCTGCCATCCACACAGCAAGCAAGCAGCCAAGCAGTGGCTAATTCCTGTAACCCCTGCACTCACAGGCCGCAGTGGGAGAATTCAGGGCAAAGAACAGGGATGCTCAATTGTGGGTTCTGGGATCTGCCCCTCCAGCCCCGCTGTTCCCCCTGTGTGAGCCCAGGTGCCCGGCTTAGAGAGGCACGTCAGGGGCACCGATGTAGCCTTCACGCAGGCCCCGTCCCCGGAAGACCTTTCTGCCCTGGCGGCTGGCTCTTACTTGGCTCTCCTGACAAGTCTGTGGTCAAAGCGACATGACCTTCACGATGAACATTATCTACAAAGACAGACGCTGCTCTGCCGGAGGATGCAAGACAAAGCCGGAATGATGGGCAAAGTCAAACGAAGGCGCTGTGGAACGCTGGGCCAGCGCCTGACCTGGAAGAACTGGGTCAGGCCAGGGTGTCTGGTGACCCAAGCAGGCTGCTCATCCAACTGTCCTGACAACTCACTAACACGTTCATTCCTACAATGCTGTCAAAGAAAACCGCAGACCAATATTACAGCACAGGGAATCAACTGGAAACCACTTACACTCTATGTTTCCAGGTAAACATTTTAAAATAGATTTCTTTGTCCACTCCTTCAACTGGAAAGCGAAGCTTACAGTTAAGAGCCGGGATGCCAGCAAGGAGGTGCTCAGGAGGCTGAGATCTGAGGATCACGGTTTGAAGCCAGCCGGGCAGGAAAGTCCCCAGGAGACTCTTATCTCCCATACTGGAAATGGAGCTGTGGCTCAAAGTGGGAGAGCATTGAGGTAAAGAACTCAGGGACGGTACCCAGGCCCTGAGTTCAAGTCACATGATGAACAACAACAACAAAATTAAAAGATAATGCACTTAGAGCCCGGTTACCTGTGTCTGGAAAGATCCAGCCAGCCCCACAGTACAGCACTGGAAATAGGAACTGGTAACCATTTTTCCCACTGCCTTCAGACACAGAGATCAGGCCCACCCCTTGTCCACTCTCCCATTACCTATGACTGACAGATCAAGGGTCCAATCAGGTGGGGTTGTAATGACAAGTCTTAAAACCTAAATACCTATTGAACTCCCACAGGAGTTCCTAGATAAACCCTCTCAGTGCCGTCACTGATGATGTGCCCAAGCAGAGGCAGGTCTTTCTCAATGGACAAAGAATCTCAAGGAAGCCATGGGGATAATGATCCCATCCATGCTACTGACAGAAGGGCGGAGAGGTTCAAGACAGAGCAGGCTCCAAAATCTTTACCATCTTCCCTTCCAGCCTAAGGAGCTGGGGCAGTACGTGATGGGAGAGTCATGGGGGTTTGGGGATCAAACCACTTTGGGTAGGGAGCCAGTAGCTCCCGCCTGTAATCCAAGCAAATCTGTGAGTAGGCTGAGATCTGAGGGCTGTGGTTCAAAGCCAGCCCAGAAAGAATTCCGTGATTCTTTAGCTCCAGCTATCCAGCAAAAAGCCGGAAGGAGAGCTGTGGCTCAAGTGGCGGACCACCGGCGCTGGCCAAAAATCCAAGGGATGGTGCCTTAGCCCCTGAGCTCAGGGGCTAGGACCCCTGTCCCCCCCATACACACACACACACGCGCACACACACACACACACACACACGCACACCTTTGGCCTGAGTCCCACCTGCAAACCTTGAACCTGGCTGGAAGTATGTTTTCCCCCTCGGAAGAGGTAGAAGAGCCGTTGAGTGAAGAAGAAACGACAGGGGCTACGTGTGCTAGCTTGGTGAACTCTGCTTTGCGCCGGTGGCCTTTGAACTATGTCCCCACCAAGGGCACACAGGGGTCAGATTTCCTATTGACGGATTTACTTTATCATCACACGCACACACACGCATATGCACACACGCATATGCACACACGCACACACATGCATATGCACACACGTACACTCATGCATATGCACACGCACACTCATGCATATGCACACACGCACACACACACATGCACACACGCATATGCACACACGCACACACACATGCACACACGCATATGCACACGCGCATGCATATGCACACACGCACACACGCATATGCACACACGTACACTCATGCACATGCACACACGCACACACACATGCATATGCACACACGCACACTCATGCATATGCACACACGCGCACACACACACATGCACACACGCATATGCACACACGCATGCATATGCACACACGCATATGCACACACGTACACTCATGCACATGCACACACGCACACACATGCACACACGCACGCACGCGCACACACGCGCGCGCGGCCCCTTCGTCTGTCTCCACACCGGATTTTTTTCCCCAGTGCAATCCGATGTCACCACTCCGACCATCTCCCGCCACGCGGCCGTCCGTCCGCTCCACTCTCAGGGGACGGAATGACAGCGAGGGATCTCTGTCGCCAGGGCAACGAAGGAAGGAATCAAGGTCACTAGGGCCAGCCCCGCGGAGCCCCGTTGCCAAGGGGACAGGTCAGCCCCCGCCCCCTCCCGGCTTACCCGCAGGCGTTAGGCTTCTGGAGGAAGTGAGTGGCCTGTTCAACTGTCACTCAAAAGCCGTCCCCGGGAGGCGGAGCCAGGGCGCCGCCCCGACGCGGAAGTCCCGCCCCTTCCGAGCCGGGATTGGAGGCGGCGATGTGGCTTCCGCCCGCGCGGCTGTCAGGAAGCGGCTTGGGGAGCGGGGGGGCGCGGGTGGGGGGCGCGTCCAGCGCCGTTCCCCGGCCCCTCGGCCATGCGGTCGGTGAGCTACGTGCAGCGCGTGGCGCTGGAGTTCAGCGGGAGCCTCTTCCCTCACGCCGTCTGCCTCGGCGACGTCGACAACGACGGGGTGAGTGCATGCGCAGTGGCGCCGGAGACGCCCGGCGGGGCGCGGCGCGGGGGCGGAAGGGGCGGGGCCGGAGGCCGGAAGTCGGGGCGAGAGCCTGCGCCTGCGCGTCAGGGCCGTCATGGCGCCCGCAGGACGCCTGCTCTAGTGATGGCCTCGTCGTCCGGGATGTCCAGGCCGGCTCAGCCCGTCCGGAACGCCGGGCGTTTTTCTGTGTGTTTTCAGGGATAGATCATTGATCCCTCCCTGCCGTTACGGGCGGGGTGGAGCTGGTCAGCTCTGTTGGCCACGATTGGAGGCAACGTCTGGTTCATCCTGGCTACGAACCTCCGTTTACCTTTAAAAAAATCAGCTGGAAACAGTAAAACCGCCCTGCCTGCTGATTGCTCCGCTCCCCCGAGGACGTCTCTGGGCCTTTGCTGCTTTCCCATTGGCTCACTGACCTGAGATGGATGGATGGATGGACGGATGGATGGATGGATGGATGGATGGATGGATGGGTGGATGGACGGATGGATGGATGGGTGGATGGATGGATGGATGGATGGATGGACGGATGGATGGATGGACGGATGGATGGATGGATGGACGGATGGATGGATGGACGGACGGATGGATGGATGGACGGATGGATGGATGGATGGGTGGATGGACGGATGGATGGATGGGTGGATGGACGGATGGATGGATGGATGGACGGATGGATGGATGGATGGATGGATGGATGGATGAATGGATGGATGGACGGATGGATGGATGGATGGATGGATGGATGGACGGATGGATGGATCGACTTCCTGCTGTCTCCAACATTTGCTCCACCTCTCATCTTGACCTTGGGCTTCTGGGGTTTCTATGAGGTCTGCCCAGGATGGACCTCCGTTGAGTTATCTCCAGCCAGGTGCCAGTAGCTCACGCCTGTCATCCTAGCTACTCAGGAGGCTGAGATCTAAGGATTGCGGTTCAAAGCCAGCCTGGGCAGGAAAGGCCGTGAAACTCTTCAATTAACCTCTCAGAAAACCGGAAGTGGCGCTGTGGCTCAAGTGGTAGAGCACTAGCCTTGAGCTGGAGAGCTGAGGGACAGCGCCCAGGCCCAGAGTTCAGTCCCCACAACTAGACTCCCCCCCAAAAAAGAACTAGAGTTCAGAGCTACCTAGTTCCCCCGGGTAGCAGTGATGGAGAAGGGCTCTGCTTGGCGCAGGGAGCCCCTGTCTGAGAGCCAGGCCACCACATGGGGGCACCAGAGGCCCAGGCTGACATGCAACAGCAAGACCTTCAGAGCCCCTGTGTCCTGTGCATGCATGCATGCGTGTGTGTGTGTGTGTGTGTGTGTGTCCCTCCCCTCCCCCCCCCAGGCTCTATTGGCTTGCAGCTGCCCTGATTAAATGTATATGAGATCCCACTTTCAAGCCTTTCAAAGGTCAAAATCTTAAAACTGTTTTAAGACCATGTTCCATTTTCAGTGGACAAGCAGAAGTCATGCATGTGGGCAGAGAGTCTGTCAGCCAAGACTGTAGAACAGTCTGGAATGAAGCATGGATTGTGTATAGCCTCCATGCCCCTAACCCCTCCCACCCCCCAGCACGCATGCATGCACGCACGCACATACACACAGAAGTGGAAATACACTCTGGTCAGCTATGGCTCTGTGTGTGTGTGTGTGTGTCCCTCTGGAATGAACCCGGCCTGGTACGCGCCACAGAATCTGCTGGGGTCACACCCCGCCCAGCCTGAAGAGATCTTTCATGATGTTGGTGAAGGTGCAGATGCGAAGCTCACCACTTCCCGGGGTCAGGCTGAGCTCAGGAGACCGCGCCGTGGCTCGGCGGGAGCCGCGTCCCCATGCGCGCCTCTCTCCATTTCCAGTTGAATGAGCTGGTCGTGGGCGACACCAACGGGAAGCTGTCTGTGTACAAGAAGGACGACGGCCGGCCGTGGCTCACCTGCGCGTGCCAGGGGATGGTCAGTGTTCTCTCCCTGCGCCTGAGGCCTGGGACAGGGCCTGCGGCGTGCGTGGGGGTGCGCAGCGCAACCCGAGTCCCCAGCTGCTCAGCCCAGCCACTGCTTCCGGTTATGTGACTTGGGGAGGGCGGGTCCCAGGCCTTCTCCCCCTCTTCCTCTCCCCTCTCCCCCCCCAGCCCCATTTGGGCCCCACTTCAAGGATGGGGCATCTTTTACGGGGTCCTTGGGGACGTGGATGCTGCCCAAGGCTGGCTGATCCTCCAAGGAGTGGTCACGCATTGGTTAACACCAGTGGTATGTTCTAGAAAGCCGTTGTTGGACTGCCCTGGCAGTGTGCCAGATTTACATCTTATTTTGCCATTCCTGGGGCTTGAACTCAGGACCTAGGCACTGTCCCTGAGCTGCTTTTGCTCAAGGCTGGCTCTCTACCACTTGAGCCACAGCGCCACTTCCGGCTTCTTCTGTGGTTGTGGTGCTGAGGAATCCAACCCAGGGCGTCGTGCATGCTAGGCGAGCACTCTACCACTGAGCCACCTGCCCAGCCCAGACAAAGATTATTAACATAGGTTAGTGGTGCAAGTTTTCAGTGGCTGGTAGTAATGGACGGCTCATAGCTGTCATCCTAGCCACTCAGGAGGCCGCCATCTGCAGGCCATGGTTCAAAGCCCCCCCCAGACAGGAAAGTCCATGAAACTCATCTGCAATTCATAAGGAAGGAAGCCGCAAGCCCGCCTGCAGTCCCTTCCCGCTGCACAGGGGTCAGGGCAGGCTGGACTCCCCCATGCCTGCCTCCCTCCCTGAGCCCCTCTTTCCCTTGCAGTTGACCTGCGTTGGGGTTGGAGACGTGTGTAATAAAGGAAAGGTAAGATCTTAGGCGGTGGCATTCCCAGGCCTGCCCTCCGTCTACATCCGGGCCTCTGCTCTAGCACCCTGCACCCTGGCCTCCCCTCCCCCCACCAGCCCATCTCCCCCGCACCTCGCTCTCCCAGAACCTAGTGGTGGCGGTGAGCGCCGAAGGCTGGTTCCACTTGTTTGACCTGACGCCCGCCAGGGCCTTGGATGGCTCAGGACACCACGAAGCCCTGGCCGGGGAGGAGCAGCGACCCGTCTTCAAGCAGCACATCCCGGCCAACACCAAGGCCATGCTGGTCAGCGACATCGGTGGGCAAGGGTGCTCAGCCAGCCGCTGCGGGGCGGGCGGGAGAAGGCAGGTGCCAGGACAGATCCCCGGGGTCAGGGTCGCTGCCGTTTGTGTGTGCGGCGCAGAGCTGCTGAGCTCCCCGCCTGCCGGGCACGGTCGTGGGCACTGGCATCACAGCCAAGAGTAAAACAGATGGAGCTTGCTATGTAGCCCGGGCGGTCCCCAAACTTGCACCCCTCTGCCTCAGCATCCTGGGTGCACCATCATGCCCAGCTTAATTTTTTTTTTTAATTATTTCGTCACTTGTGGGTCTTGAACTCGGGGCCTGGGCGCTGTCCCTCAGATCTTCAGCTCGAGGTGAGCGCTCTACCACTTGAGCCACAGCACCACTTCTAGTTTTCTGGTGGTTTCTGGGAGATGAGAGTCTCAGGGACTTTTCTGCCCAAGCTGGCTTTGAACTACAGTCCTCAGATCTCAGCCTCCTGAGTCACTGGGATGACAGGCGTGAGCCACGGGTGCCTGGCTTAGCCTTATTGTTTACAGTACAGTCGTGACCTTAGCAAAAAGACGAAGCAGTATAAATTTCATAGGGAAGCTAACTAGTGTGGCCAGGGGCACAGCTCAGCAGCAGAGCTCCAGGCTCAATCTCCATACTGGAAAAGCATAAAATACATAAACTGAGCGCGAGGTGAGCGCGAGGCCCGGGCGGGGGCAGCGGCTGCCCGCATGCGCACTCAGCAGCCCGGAGGCGGCCCTGACGCCGTCGGGGAGGCCCGCGGAGGGGAGGCCTGGGGGAGGGGGCCGCGTGGGGGGCCCCACGCCCACCGAGGTGGGTCGGATCCCATGCCCGCAGATGGGGACGGACGCTGCGAGCTCGTGGTGGGTTACACGGACCGCGTGGTGCGGGCCTTCCGCTGGGAGGAGCTGGCCGAGGGCAGCGAGCACCCGACCGGCCAGCTGGTGTCCCTCAAGAAGTGGGTGCTGGAAGGCCAGGTGAGCGGCGGAGTCTGGGGACCCGAGTGCGGGGCTCCCTCCCGGGAGGGTGCAGGTGGAGGTCTGGTGGCAGGTGCAGCAGGGCGTGGGTCAGGCTGGGGGGGGCCCTGCTGCCCCCCACCCCCCAGCAGACGCCGATCATCTGCGTGGCGTTGCTGGTCAGCCCGAACCCTAGCACCTCCCTCCGGCTCTGAACCCAATGCGGGGCGCTGCTCCCCGGGGCAGGTGGACAGTCTGTCTGTGACCGTGGGGCCGCTGGGTGTGCCGGAGCTAATGGTGTCCCAGCCGGGCTGTGCCTACGCGGTTCTGCTCTGCACCTGGCGCCGGGACTCAGGGGTGCCCCCCACCTCCGAGGGCACCACGGAGGGCAGCAGGTAAGGCCAGGCGTGCGGCGGGGGCGGGGAGACCCCGCCCGGAGGCCCGCTCATCAACCCACCCCCTTCCGTCCCCAGGGACACCCCCGCTCCCCGGGACGTGGAGACCCACCAGACGTCCGGCCGGATCCACAACAAGAACGTGTCCACGCACCTCATCGGCAACATCAAGCAGGGTGAGCGCCGGGAGGGGCTGGCCGCTTCCCGCTCCCGCCCCCAGCCCGCTCACGCGTCCCTGTGCCCTGTCACACCGCCAGGTCACAACCCCGAGCGCGGCGGCTCTGGCCTCTTCGCCCTGTGCACGCTGGACGGTGAGCAGGGCTGGGCTGGGCTGCGCCTCCCTCTGCCAGTGCCCCCGGCCTGGACCCCATCCCTCCACCCACCCCTCCTGCCTCTCCCTGCAGGAACCCTGAAGCTGATGGAGGAGGCCGACAAGCTGCTGTGGTCCGTGCAGGTGGATCACCAGCTGTTCGCCCTGGAGAAGCTGGATGTCACGGTGAGCGGCCCGGGAGCCCTGCCGGAGCACTCGGTCTTCTCTGGGGGAGGGGCTAGTTCCAGCCGGCCTCTGAATGAATGATGCTGCTTACCTTGATCTGTTCTCCGCCAAGCTTCTGGAACCCTCTCCATCATACCTGCCAGCTGGGCAGCAGCTCCAGAGATAAGAAGCTACCTCAGGGGGCTTGGGCCCTGCCTTGGTCCCCTCCTAGCCAAGTGCGGCCAAGAGACTGCTTCTGCAAGATCGTTTTGTGGTTGTCTTTGGTTTTAGATAGATAGGGGTAGATAGAGCTGAGGGCCAGCACCCAGGCGGGTGCTCTACCACTTGGGCCACTTCCAGTTTTCTGGTGGTTCATTGAAGATCAGAGTCTCACGGACTTTCCTGCCCGAGCTGGCTTTGAACCGCGATCCTCAGATCTCAGCCTGCTGAGTAGCTGGGATGACAGGCGAGAGCCCCGGCCCCTGGCTATGTATTTTTGAGATAGAATTTTGCACTCTAGCCCATGCTGGCCTAGAACTTGGAAGCCTCGTGGCAGTGCTGCTTCACCAGGCACGCCCGGCAGGTCAGCTCACGCTGCTCTGCATGCTTTCCCCTGACTTTTGCAGGGCAATGGGTGTGAGGAGGTGGTGGCGTGTGCGTGGGACGGACAGACGTACATCATCGACCACAACCGCGCTGTCGTCCGCTTCCAAGTCGATGAGAATGTCCGGGCCTTCTGTGCAGGTGCGGAGCGACCCGGCCCTCTCTCCTGCCCTGGCCCCCGACCTTTCCAACGAGAGAAGGAAACACTTGAACAGGGACAGGGGAGATGGCTCAGGCGGGAGATGGCTTGCCTAGCAAGCGCAGAGCCCTGGGTTCAAATCCTGCTACCAGAACAAAAGGAGGGATGAATTCTTTTTTGTGGTGGGGGGGGGAGGGGGAATCGGTCATGGGGCTTGAACTCAGGGCCTGGGCGCTGTCCCTCAGCTCTTCAGCTCAAGGCGGGCGCTCTACCACTTGAGCCACAACTCCACTTCCAGTTTTCTGGTGGTTCATGGGAGATCAGAGTTTCACAGACTTTCCTGCCCAGGCTGACTTTGAACCGCGATCCTCGGATCTCAGCCTCCTGAGTAGCTAGGATGACAGGCGGGAGCCAATGGCGCTCATCTGGGCGCTGTTCTGGCTGGTGCTTCCCGTGGCCTCCCCATGTCGGGCATGAGCTGGGTATTTTGGCATTTCTCTGCTTTGGTTGGCTGCCCGGCCTCCGTGGGAGGCTCAGCCCCCTGGCTGTGGCGGTGGTCTGTCTGTCTGTCTGTCCTGGGTGGTCTGTCCCCTTGCCCTTCCACCAGCGGGTGACGCTTGCCCTTTGTGGTCCTCCCCTCCCCCAGGCCTGTACGCCTGCAAAGAGGGCGGCAACAGCCCCTGCCTGGTGTACGTCACCTTCAACCAGAAGATCTACGTGTACTGGGAGGTGCGGCTGGAGCGCATGGAGTCCACCAGCCTGCTCAAGCTGCTCGAGGCCGAGCCCCAGTACCGCAGCCTGCTGCGGGAGCTGGACGTGGGTGAGCCCCCCTCCCCCCACAGCCCGGCCAGCCGCCCCGGGCTCCAAACACCTCTTACCAGCCCCCGTTGGCCCTCAGATCCCGATGACCTCCCTGCAGTCCGCAGCCTGCTCCGCCGGGCACTCTACCACCCGGACCAGCCTCTGCCCTGCGCCCCGACCGGCCCCCAGGACGCCACCTAGCCGGGCTCAGCGAGCCCGCCGCCCATCCTACCCCCAGTCCTCGCCAGCCCTGGCAGGATGGAGGTGGACATGGCGGGGGTGCGGGGATGAGCTGGTGGCAGGGCCCTGCCCGTCACGTGACCAGGAGCCCCGCCCCCTCCCTATGTGAGCCCGCAGGCCACAGGTCTTTCTCCTGGCCCCCAC